GGGAGCCTTTGATGCAGTGAGAATTCAGTTGTGGCACAGTTAGAAATGATGTTAAGGAACTACAAAGTAATGAGCTGAGTGTGAATTAGGGTAGAGCTGCAGTGTGAAAAGCCTGACCACCTTAAGGCAGAGGTAAACAATGTTGGCGTGCCAGTCAGAGTGCCTTTGTGAACTGTATGGAGGTGTATAAAATCTGCCATCTTCTCTGGAATAAACGGAGAAGGTAGCATTGATCATGTTGGTTGGATGTGCGTTCTGTCCTGTCCAGCTTTCCTGTTCTATGAGGACCCTGGGGACACAGACCCACACACCAAAGCAGAATGGGAAAACCACCAAATCTAAACCTGAGGCATCTGAGTCTGGGGGAGTCTGTTTGCCCCGGGGGACGGGCGTAGGCACACTGGGCTTCCTAAACGCCACTTTTGGTGATTTCCCCTCAGATCCGGCCCCACATCGCCACGCTGCGCAAGTACACCTACGGCAAGCACATCCTGGCCAAGCTGGAGAAGTACTACATGAAGAACGGCGTGGACCTGGGGCCCATCTGCGGCCCCCCCAACGGCATCATCTGAGCAGGGCCACCCCAGCACCCCAGAGCCACCCCAGGGCCACCCCAGGGCCACCCCAGAGCCACCCCAGGGCCACCCCAGGGCCACCCCAGCACCCCAGGGCCACTTTAGGGCCACCCCAGGGCCACCCCAGAGCCACCCCAACACCCCAGGGCCACCCCAGAGCCACCCCAGGGCCACCCCAGGGCCACCCCACCACCCCAGGGCCACCCCAACACCCCAGAGCCACCCCAGAGCCACCCCAGAGCCACCCACCACCCGCCACGGTCGCTGAAACAACACACAAACCAACGAAACCCACGGAAAAAAAAAAAAAAAAAAAAAAAAAAAAAAAAAAAAACCACACCAAAAAAAAAAAAAAAAAGAGAAGCCTTTGTAAATTTCTTTAATTTTATTATGCATAACATGTACTAATTATTTTTTTTAATTAACTAATTGCCCTGCTGTTTTACTGGTGTATAGAATTCTTGTACATAGGTCTCAGATGTACATGGAAGGCCACATTTTTGTTCACTGTTGTATCTATATTCCAAATGTGGAGACTTTCAGGGTGGTTGGTTCGAAGACAACAAACAGACAAAACAGGAAAAAAAAACCCGTTTTTAATTCATCCTTTTTTGCAAATACCTTTTTTTGGGGTTTTTTTTTTCCTCCTTTTAGCCCAAAAATCAGTGAGAAGTTGGAATTTTACTTCAATGATGACACCACTGGTAGAAATACTAAAAAGAGAAAAATTCAACTTGCTAACGTTTGGTTTTAAACAAAGACACCAAAATTCAGTTTTTGGGACTTTTTAATGGCTTTATTTTTATTTTATTTGTGACTGACATGCTGAAGGAGGGAGCTTAGCTGGCGTTTTGAGAAAACACCCAGAGATAATCTAAAAGGAGGATTTTTGGGATTTTTTTATGCCCACTCCTCTGTTCACCTGGAGAGACACAATTTGATTATTTAGCATGAGGAAAAACAAAAAATCCAACTCGGCTTTGGTCTTGCTTCTATAAATATATAGTGTATACTTGGTGTAGACTTTACATATATAAAAATTTGTAGTATTTTCTTGTTTTGATGTCTGATCTGTATCTATAATGTACCCTAGTAGTGGAACATACTTCTGACTGTACAATTGTACATTTGTAAACCTCTGTAATGTAAATGTGGAGAAGTTTGAATCGACATAAAACCCGTTTTTTGGTAAGAAAACAGGAAAAAAAAAAGAATTTAGCAAAACCTGTGCATTTCAGTGTATATTCACACCTTTTATGGTCGTAGCATATAGTGTTGTATATTGTAAATTGTAATTTCAACCAGAAGTAAATTTTTTCTTTTGAAGGAAATGTTCTCTTTATACAGCCTAGTTAATGTTTAAAAACAAAAAAGGAAGAAAAATAAACTGCTTGGTTTTATTTGTCACCTAGTTGGACGGTAGAGATCCTTTCTAAATGTTCTACAGACCTGATTCAGTTCCAAATAGTGTTTTTTTGAATCTTACAAAGTAATGTTTTGCTTCTTTTGTGACAGTAAGAAACAAAAAGTGCAAAAGTACAGCCCCCTCCTAGTTTTCCTTACAATCAGAGCCCCTTTTCACCTTGTAAAGTGTGAATCACCTCCCCCTTTTTTGTACAGAAGATGAACTGTATTTTGCATTTTGTCTACTTGTAAGTGAATGTAACATACTGTCAATTTTCCTCGTTTGAATATAGAATTGTAACACTACACGGTGTACATTTACAGAGCCTTGTGTATATTTCCAATGAACTTTTTTGCAAGCACACTTGTAACCATATGTGTATAATTAACAAACCTGTGTATGCTTCTGCCTGGGCGACTATTTTTTGTAACTCTTGTGTAGATTGTCTCTAAACAACGTGTGATCTTTATTTTGAAAAATACAGAACTTTGGAATCTGGCCCCGGGTTTCATTTGTTGGAGTTTGGAGCCTCAATCCAGGGGAAGAGCTGGAGCTCTGCTTTTCCTGGAGAGTTCAGTTGGAATTTGGAGTTTCACTGCAGGGGCAGGAGCAGGACACGGGGAAGAGCTGGGCTCTGCTTTTTATGGAATGTTGAGTTGGAATTTGGAACTTCAAGGGCAGGAGCAGGCTGGGGCTCTGCTTTTTATGGAATGTTTTGTTGGAGAGTTTGGGCTTCAATCTGGGAGCGGAGCAGGACACGGGGAAGAGCTGGGCTCTGCTTCTTTTGGAATATTTAGTTAGGATTTGGAGTTTGGCTGCAGGGGCAGGAGCAGGACACAGGGGAGGGCTGGGGCTCTGATTTTCATGGAATTGGAGCCTCAGTGCAGGGGCAGGACATGGGGCTCTGCTTTTCAGGGGGTGTTGTGTGGGAGTTCGGAGCTTCGCTGCAGGACCGGGGCACAGGAAGGCTTGGAGGAGTCCTTAAAAGTTCAATTGGAATTTGGAGCTTCCATGTGGGAGCAGGACACGGGGAAGAGCTGGGGCTCTGCTTCTTTTGGGATGTTTAGTTGGAGTTTGGAATTCAGTGTGAGGGCAGGAGCAGGACACAGGGAAGGGCTGGAGCTGTGCTGTTCATGGAATGTTTCATTGGAGCTTGGAGCTTCATTCCAAGGGCAGGAGCAAGACAGAGAAAAGGCTTTAAGCTGTGCTGCTCATCGAATGTTGAATTAGAATTTGGAGTGTCTGTGGGAGCAGGACACAGGGAAGGGCTGGAGCAGTGCTGTTCATGGAATTGGAGCTGCAATCCAGGGGCAGGACACAGAGCTGGGGCTGTGGTTTTCATGGAATGTTGAATTTGAGTTTGGAGCTTCAGTGTGGGAGCAGGACACGGGGAGGGCTGGGGCTGTGCTGGAGGGCTGGGATGGAGGGCAGGGAAGGGGCATTTTTAAAGACTATTTCTGTCTTCGAGAGTCTGACGTGCTGAAGGAGGGAGCTGAGCTGTTTTTTGGGGGAGGAGAAACACCCGGAGATGATTTTAAAGTGGAGGATGGGGAGCCCATCCTGAGCAGGCTCCCCAGGGCACAGGGATGAGAGATTCTCCTGAGACCCCACCTGCAGAGCTTCCCCAGCCCTGGAGCCCCCGAAATCAAGGATTTGGAGCTGCTGGAAGAAGTCCAGAAGAATCCACGGAGCTGCTGCAGGGCTGGAGCCCCTCTGGAGCCAGGCTGGAGAACTGGGGGTGCTCCCTGGAGAGGAGAAGCTCCAGGGAGAGCTCAGAGCCCCTGCAGGGCCTGGAGGGGCTCCAGGAGAGCTGGAGAGGGACTGGGGACAAGGATGGAGGGACAGGACCCAGGGAATGGCTCCCAGTGCCAGAGGGCAGGGCTGGATGGGAGATTGGGAATTGGGAATTCATTGCCTGGTGCTTCTGCAGGCTGCAGCACAGAGCTGATGGTTCTACCCCCACCCACTCCCTGCTGCCCCATGGTGTCCTGCTCTCCCTTATTCTCCTAATTCCCTACTTAGGGAAGCTCCAGCTCTCCATTTCTTTTCCTGTGTGAACAGAACCCCAAAATCAGCCTCTCCTTCCCACCAGTTTCCCCCATTTGCAGCATCTGGGACCTTCCCTATCCCTTTGTTGCACTTTGCTGCATTTAAAATCCCTTTTCCAGAGGGACATTTGGGGAATGTTGATGAATTTGGGAACTTGTGGAGGCAGGGTCACATGTGGCCAAGTGATGGAGGGCAAGAACATGCCCATTTTACAGGATATTATTGTGGCTTAGCACGTGGAAAGCATGGGGTTTGAAGGTCAGACTGTTCCCACACCCCATTCCCACCCCTCGGCAGGGCCAGCACCCCTGGGACTCCACTCTGGGATTGATCTGGGATCCCACTCTGGGATTGATCTGGGATCCCACTCTGGGATTGATCTGGGATCCCACTCTGGGATTGATGTGGGACACTGGACTGGGATAGATGTGGGACCCTGGACTGGGATAGATCTGTTCCCACACTGGGACTGATCTGGGACCCCATCCTGGGACTGGCCTTTTCCCTGACTGGTGAATCTCAGCAGAATTTCCCTGACTGGTGTTAAATTCAGCAGATTTGGGTTTTGACTCCATTTCTCCCCAGCGTTTGAGGCCACCCTGTGGCCCAGCGCTGCGCTGAGCCACCAGGGCCATGGGCAGTGGAACTTTGGGGTTTCAGAGCTCTTTGGGTGGCTCTGAGCTCTTCACCGCCTCATTTATCTGGTGGTGTCTGTGGAGCTCAGTCAGCTGCAGGTTTGGGGACAAACATGGTGAAAACAAGGGAGAGAAATCAAATTTTTAATGTTTAACTCGGCGCTGAGCGTTCCATTCAGGCCGGAGAGGAAGGGGAGCGTGCCCAGACTCTGTGTTTGCCCCCCAGACTCCTGCGGGTCCGGGGTCAGCCCTGGGCACCCTTCCCACCCCGGGGTGCTCGGGAACGGGATCGGCGCCCCCGGCCCCGCCGGGTGGCAGAGGGGACACGGCCCGGGAAGGACACGGGGGCTCCGTGCTGGCCGGTCCCTCCTGAGCACGGCTGGCGATGGCTGCAGAAGGGATGTGAAGGGAGCTGCCGCCTCAGCCGGGATCCCCCGTGCCACCCCTTGTCCCGTCCCACCGCGGATGGACAGGGGGACAAAGCCCCGGCGGCAGCGCCCGCCCCCAGCTCCTCGTGTGGGGCCCGAGGAGCCCAGACCCGCACCCTGCAGGGAGCGGCCTGCGCTGCCACCGCGCCGGGACCGCGGGGACCCTGCGCTGCCACC